ATCTGTCTATAGAGGGCCTCATCTGCTCGGTCTTCCTGGTAGGGTGGCCTGTAGCAGACCCCCACTGTAATGTCACCTGTCCCTGCCCTCCCTTTAATTCTGACCCATAAGCTCTCAGTCGGCTCCTCATCCATCCCCAGGCAGAGCTCCATGCAATCCAGCTGGTCATTGACAGAGAGGGCCACACCCCCTCCTCATCTCCCCTGCCTGTCCTTCCTAAAGGGCCTGTATCCCGCTCTCCTGCTGACCTGTGATCCTTCTTCAGGCTCTGGGCATCTATTGCTGGCCCTGGCATCAAATTGGTAGGAGTGGGATGGATTGAGGTTCCCCTCCCCCGGCATCTCTAGTTTAAAGCCCTCTTCACCAGCTTGGCAAGCCTATGACTGAAGATGCTCTTCCCCTTCTCTGACAGATGGACCCCATCAGTGCCTAGTAGAGCAGGTTTATCAAAGCAAGTCCCATGGTCCAAGTAGCTAAATATTTCCATATTTCCAGCCGCATAATTCCATATTTCTGTCTGATAACTTCATTAAAAGAGAGTATAAAGGGAAAGATTAAAAAAAAAAAAAAGGAAATCAGGTGTCACTCAAAGAAATGACAAGGCTGAGAGAATAGTTTGATCAAAGCAAGTCCCATGGTCCAAGTAGCTAAATATTTCCATATTTCCAGCCGCATAATTCCATATTTCTGTCTGATAACTTCATTAAAAGAGAGTATAAAGGGAAAGATTAAAAAAAAAAAAAAGGAAATCAGGTGTCACTCAAAGAAATGACAAGGCTGAGAGAATAGTTTGGAGCGGAGGTTTTAAGCTGCCATGCTGTGCCTTTCACAGCTGCCTACACTTCATGTCATTAATAACCAGCAAATAAGATCTGCAGGTGGGCATATAGGGCACCCTGAGCCAAGAAGCTGTAGCTAGGGCTTCTGTCTCTAAGATGGGTGGCCAGGCTCATTTGCACAAGGCTGCTTATGTTTCCATACAGAAGTGTAACCCTACTTAGCATAGCTTCAGGGAAGCCGCTACAATACAGAGAATGCTAATTACTGTAACCAACTGGCAATGATGCATCCAAAATTAAATGGCCTGTGACTGAGCAGATGAACAATTTTTATAGCCCTAAGTTCAGGGAACATGGATATTCTGTCAAATTAACAGTCTATTTGGTCTTAATAGGTAAATTGAAGTCTTTTAAAAGACATTTAGATGTGCTGTTACGTTATCAGTGTGAGTGCAGTTCTCCTTCCAGTTTAAAAGTGTCCAATTTGAAACTAAAATACCCGTAGCCTGTTACAGAAAAAAAATAAAATTTAAAAAAAACACCAAACCCCACAACATTTTATGGCCCTTATAAACTTCATTTTCACGCAAAGCTGCAACATGGCCTCTGCTCCTACTCTAGGTTCCTGTTCATCTCTTCGTACTTGGGCAAAATTCCCAGTGAAGTCAGTAGCAGCTCTGCACACAGAGGCCTTCAGGCACAGACACTGCAGGCTGCCTCCTCAGTCTTCAGTTCCAGTGAAATTTGGGGGTTTTTCAGGAGAACATTGCAAGATCAAAGTTTTTACTTGACTTTCTACAACGAGCTTTAACAAGTAAATCAAAGCCGAGACCAGACATAAATAGTCCTTGATTTTTCCTGATTGCACTTAGCGAATGAATTACCCATATACTTCAGCACAAATGACATAGCAGTCCAGCTTTCCTACAAGCACTCTCAACAAATACATGTATTCATCAACTGACTTTATTATCTTCTTTAAAGTTACCAAAACTCTTTTTCTGAATAACAGAAAATACTTGAGAAAAGGAAAAAAATTGTAAATAAACTATGTAGAAAAAAGTTCCAAAAGACAAATTTTATCGCCAGAGGGCAATCCTTTTTGAAGGATGCTTTGTAGTAAGTGAGACTTACAAGGAAAGCTATTGGCGCAGTATATCTGGCAGAATGGTTAATTTATAAATTTATCAGTAAGCAAGACTCTGGCTGCTTTCAGGAAAAGCAGAGTTGTAAGTAAGTCTGGCTTAGTCTCCCCCCAGACGATAAACAGCTGGATCTAAAACCCACTGCACTTAGGATATGATTACAGAAGTGTCACCAAAATCAAGCTCTTTAGTTACGTGCCAGAGTTCCCTTTTTTACCGACCATATTGAATTGAAACACAGATGTCTCTTCAGCTTCCCAACACAAAGTATGGGATTCACTTCGTCAGTCTTAAGACACATCTACAATGTCTGGTCTAGTCACCCTAGAGTCCCTTTATAGACACTGGAGAAAAAATAGGCACTTGTAGAATACAAGTCATCAAATCTATTTAGGATGTTTATCTGAAGATATGATGCATCGTATCCCAGAAAGCTCTGTTTCTCTGCAGTGACTCTCAGACGTATTTGGTGAGATTTGCTCATATGTAGATACCTACATCTTTTTGTTGAGTGAAGAGGAATCTACAAAAAAATTCTCACTCATTTTTCAAACACCCAAGATGAAAGCTGCGTACCCTGCATGCCCTTCAAAGGGCTCCTTATAGGTTCCTTGAAGAGCGCATGCACGCTGGAAGAGCACCTCTTCATGGCCACCAGGACTCACTCAGGGTCCCCTTCTCCTTCACCCCCATAAGCACGGAGGGGTGGGGGGAGCTGCAGAGATGAGCTCGCCAAGGAGCAAAGCTGGCAGAGCAGCTGCAGCCGCCCTTCAAGCAGAAATTGATGGACATTGATAACATCGTCAGAATATCTCTGCAGTTTTCACATTGGCCCCTCTCTCCCCCTCACTTATTGGCCATTCGCTCCAATTACTTCTATCTTTGCTTTTCCGTTTCTCCATTTACCTCCTAACATAACCCCCCAGATAGATTTAAAAAACAATAACACAAAGCTTATAAAACTCCAGCAGTTCCTGGGCATATGTTATATCCTTCCCTCCCTTCCTCTCTCGTCAATTTAAGACCTGTACAGCAGCCTATTTCTTAACTGTGTTTTTCCTGAAACTAGCCTCAGAGGCTAAGTCTACATTTACCTGAGCTGTGGTGTCCCAGGAGCACTCTCAAGTCTCTGAAGTCGTGTCTGACAAGCTATCATCAACTATTAAAAATGGGGTGGGGTATTTCTGTTTCAATCAAGTAACATTGCTGTAACAGACAACATGAAAAATTACTTGAATACTAAACATCTTTGCTAAAAGTTATTGTAATGAAGAGGCAGAGAAACCGGGAGTACAGATCTTGGAGGCAAGTCAAGCAGGAAAGACCTGGGACCGATTTGGATCCGTAGCATCTAACATATCTTACTGATGAATGCCTGGTCCTGCAAAGAGCTGTATACAACCCCCTGGTTGCCGCTGCACTCCAGAGGTCCCTGATTCTGAGCCAAGGGTAAACATATGTATCGGCAAAATGCAAAACAACACTTTTTTTTACATTTTTACCAAGAAATCCATTAGAAAGCCTTTCAAAGATCTTATTAAATCTTATAAAAAACTTATTCAAACAACTCAATCCAATTCATATAAAATTTAGAGAGACAGAAGTATCTACTGAATATACTAGCAGGAAATACATTATATTTCTCTTACATTATTATGAAGTTAAAACAATTTCATTAAAATACACAGCTTTGCATATTCTGGACTACAAGAACTCTGAGTATTTAGGGAGAGATTGATTTAAAAAAAAAGAAAGAAAGAAAGAAAGATGCATTTCCATAAAATAGTAGCTCATATTCAGCAACAGGATTCATTCTCAGAAGTGCTGAAGTTGTTGAGCACTGAGTTAGTGACACAATACTCCAACTGGGCCATCTTGCAGGTGTCTGCAGCAAAAAGCCAGGAAGAGCTGGGGCATTGTTACAGTCATCTCTATTGCTTTGCAGTTTTTCCTTTTCTTCTTTTCTGCCAGGAAAGACTGTCCAGGGTTATCGAGCTCGGTACAAAACTTAACACACTGCTCACATTCACACTAGCATCTGTCAAATCACTGGATAAACAGACAGCTGGTTCCCACTGCCACACTATTGCAAAGAAATGCTCAGAGGGTGATATATTTACTAGATCTCCTTAGCATCCCTCCTGTTTAAAGACATCAGCCACAACTGGACTCAGAACCCACTTCTGATTATGCAACATACTGAGAATAGACAGGCATCTTTTTAAGGATATAACAGGAGTAACTTAACACACACCCCCATTACATATGCTTGCTAGCACTACTCTGCTGGAAACGATGGTCCTTGTAGCAGACAACACCCTTCTTGATTTGCCACAGTGCAAAACAAACAAACTATGTCCAGCATCTTGATGGCCCATGGGCAATGAAAGCAAAAAAATGAGTTTGACTTTGCAGGAAACAGATGAAGAGAACAGGGGTAGCAAAAAGCTGAGGTGGTAAGATCTTAAACCACCCCAGCTATTTGTAAAACAAATGGGTTATTTGGATGCCCTCTGCACATGTTGTCTCTGATATGATCCTTACAGGATGACTTTTCTGAAAGGGCAGAAAAGCACTGTGTGTGACTGAGATTTAAAGGAAGGGGTCTAAGAACTTGTAGTGTGATTTCATTTTTTACAGGAAAAATTGGTGCTGGCGATATGCCAAATGTATACGAGGAGGTTACATTTCAGCAGAACATATGGTAAATGAGTAGTATACATTGATTGGGGAATAGGACTCTGAAAATTAAACTGTTTTTTTTCAATCTTAGATGCATGGATAGTCACAAAAATGATCCATTCTCCATATTACACACATCCAATGTCAGTAATAATAAGGAACGCTGACAGGGGTTCGCACGCCTCCATACTGATGCTGAGGAGCACACCGGGACGCTCTGTCGCCTGTGATTTGAAGCTGTATTTCAGAGCCTCTCAGAAGAGCTGTGCCAGAATAAACATGGTTTTGGAGTGACAAAAATGGGCAACCAGTTTTGATTTCAGACATTAAAGATAAGGCTAGGGATTTTTCAGAGATGTAAAAGATAACGGTTGCTACAGGATCCCACCACGCCGAAGTCCTCAGTCAAGTGAGATTTTAGGGAACGGTGACTTATCTTAACATGTGTTTTAACAGAGAACAGGACAAAGGACCCAAATGTACTGCAGAAGCTGTAGCAAGTCTGCCATTCAGATGTTCCTGGCCTGGAGAAATTTGTCATTCTCAGCATGAAACAGAGCATTCGAAGTAAAGCACAAAGGATTCATCATGCTCAGTGAATGCTTCAGGTCACTCTTCAGCCATGTGCTCTTACTCCTTATATGTCCATATGTGTGTTTCTTAAACTATAACAGCAAGCACAAATCAAAATTTAAAAAAATAGAAAATTAAAAAAAAGAAGATTTAATTGTCAAGGTGGAGATTAATAGCTGCAATTGGACCAGGAATGTTAAGTAACACTGCTTGCATGTTACTGTTTCAGTATTGTTTCAGGTGTGCTGAACAAGCTATGATAAGGATTGTGTCCTCTCCAGGTGCTTGGGACCAAAGAGCTCACACCCCTCCTTACAGGGTTTCTCTTTAAAAATTCTTGGACTTTCTGTTTACAAATGCAACTCCTGCAAAAGCAAGTATTGGGTTTACTCCCAGGTGCAAGAGACGCATTAGCGGACCCTGCAAGAGCACTTCCAGGTACCCTCACTGTCCTGGGATGGGTGATCACCTCACGTATTACCCCCATACAGCAGGGCTGGGGACAGTCAACGTATCTACCCACAAACGCACACCCTCACACGGCTTGTATGATGCTTGGGAAAGGCCAAAGAGCAGCTAGAGCGCTGTTCAGCCATCAGGAAGGCATTACCATCGGTGATGGACTACCATGAATAAGGATATGGCCACTGAGGGTGGGACGGGAAACACCAGAGCCCTCTTTTCTCCCCTCACAAAAATCCACACTTACTCTCAAATTACTCCTTCTACCTGGCATGGACAGTGGCCTACAACTTCCAGCTAAAGAGGTTTTATAGGTGACAGATCCAGTCAGCAAGCCCTACGGTATGAGCTGTGGGTACTCAAGACCTTTCAGGAGGAGGTAATAAACCTGCCGAAAGGTGGCACAGTGTGCAGTGGCTGCACTGTTGGCTGGCTGCTCAAATTAAATTTTAATAGAACTTTTAAAAATAATTTCAGCGTAAACCACAATGTATGTGAGTGAGCCTAAATTAATAAAAAACTGTCTTTCAAGAATGAAGAATAAATGTAATCTGAGATCAATATTTATGAAGCTGTGATTAATTGACTGATGACCAAATGATTACAAACTTCTGTCTGAGGCAGGTACTCAAATGTATTAGCTTTGCCAAAAAAAAAAATTAAAAAAAAATACAAACTGGGTCAATGAAAAAATGCATTCCTAATCAATTTTTAATAGCACTTAAGATTTTATGATTTTTTAAACTTTCCTTTTAATAATTAATCAGAAAAATGAATCTAATTTAAACAAGGTGGTGTAAGGTGTTCTGTATCTGTTTGATGGTGATTTTAATGAAGAAATTCAATTAGGGTTGACTTTTCATTATAAATCTCTGGTTTTAAGGAACGCTCTGATTGGCTGGTAAACATTTGAGACTGGGAGAATAACGGAGGTGAACCACACTGCTCAGCACAATCTACTCATTAAGACTTTATACTGTTAATTCCAGCCTCCCCTTGCTTCCAAAAAAAAAGGAAAAGAAAGTGAGTGATCTCTCTAACTTTTTCGAACTTTTCTGGTGTGTTGCAGCGCTTTGCCTTGTTCCTTGCTACATCCCGGGGGACAGATCCTCAGCTGGTTGCAGACACCATAAGGTATACTGAAAGGCCGTCATAATTATAGCTTAAATCAAGGCCTGTCGCACACGCGTGCGTATTTTGTCAGTAACGTACTCCATGGTCCCAACCCTGGTGTAAGGAGGCAGTAGAGTTTCAGCAGCAGCCAAAATTTGCAGAGTAAGGGCCCAAACTTGAAGATGTTCCCTGCGTGGATAGATAGAAGCACCGTTCTCCTGAAGTCAGCTAAATCTCTGCAGGCGGAAGGCTCAGAGACAGATCTTCTATGCATAAAATGTAGCTAAAATTCACCCCTCTTCTCTGTCATATTGCCTGTTTCACAAAGGCTTTGTATATACTAGCAAATAAAATAAGCGCAGGACACAAAGCATGGCCGGTTTATCCATACCTCTTGATTGTTGGGACACTGTCTGGTACAGCTGCGGCTCATTGCAACCAGCCTTCCCCCAGGCAGTCACCTGCAAAGCCCATGGATGTATCCTCAGGCTGAGACATACCATTACAGGTGGGTTAGAGTGCCTGCACAGCGTACCACTTCTGGAGCTTCCTCCTGCCCTCAGATGTCATTCTAGTATAATGCAGTTTGTTCGGATAAAATATTCACCTGAGAAAGGGTCTGATGGGAAATCAACCTCTTGCATGACCCTCAAAAAGAAAAAGGGGGATAGCCTAACGTCCTAGGCATGCAACCTGCACTGACTTCAGATATAACCCAGCATTTCTATTTACCTGTTTGGTTCCTTGCTGACACACAGCAAGAAAAATGGAAAGTATCAGAAAAGCAAGATCAAAAAAATCTAAAAAAAGGTCGTAAAGAACAGGGGTTTTCTCACTGAACTTTTGACGCCTAGAAGATGTCTAGGTCTGAGCTAGTCACTTTGAATTCCTTTGTGGACCATGGACCCTGAGAGCAGGTGTATTCTACTTTAAGAGGAATGTTATGGCGGTTAAACTCAAAACGAAAACTACATCCGTAAAAGCAATTTGTCATCTTTTACTATTTCGTGTGAAGAAGACTAACTGCACCAAGCTTACACAAGACTGTCAATCTCAAACAATAAATCACCAAAGCTATGCTCTTACTCTGCCCCCAGCTCACTTACCCAACAGCCAGAGATCTACCTTCTGGCCTCTAGCATTCACTTTATCTCCCTTCTGGCAGTGCAATATTTTTTTCCACAGCCAAAACCCAAAACATTGTTTTAAAGAGAGAGATGAAATTCACCTTCATTTTAAAATGAAAGCCACACAGGAACTCCCAAAGAGCAAGGAGCAAGTAGCAAGAGCAGCCTACAGTGCTCAGGCAGTATAGACAGGGGGTATCTGAGAGTCATGTATTTCTGTTGAATGGCCTCAGAATGGCGTCAAGAAGAAGGGATTAGGCAGCTGGTGAATCCCTGAGCCACTGCCTCACAAGCGAGGTCGTCACTCTGCAGGGCTCATCAACAGTAAAATCCTGAGCAGGGGGGACCTGTTTTCACCCTTTCTGAAAGTAGTATGTTTTAAGGACCACGGCTTTGAATTTAGGCACCCAGAATCCCAGACTTAAATCACTTCTTTACTCTCCGTTTTAGGCAAATTTCACTCTATATTCCCCTAAATCATGTAAAACCACCTGGGAAACCCTTCTTAAAAGCTAAAGATCCTGCCTTGTTTCTCGAAGAGGAAACTGTTCCAGGCAAACTCGAACTGACTTCACTGTTGCAGAAGTGGATACTGAAAGTGGATAGCCTGGCTTGGTAGCTTCCAGCCATTTCTATCTCAGCAGAATGAGAAAGAAAAAAGAAATCAGTGTTTTATATCTATTTGTGCAGGTGTAAACAATGACCTTCAAGTTAGGTTTTCATGGCACAAAGCCACACATCCAAATGTACCCAAATTATTAGAACCAATACATCTGCATTAGTTACTTCTCACTTACCAGTTGGGCTAGTCAGCCTAGAAGACACAAATTTCACTCTTTCACACCCTCACCCGTGCTCCTCACTCCCTGCCCAACGTGCTGCTGAGAAACATGCACAGATCTAAAATCCAGATGACATGCACTTTAAGCCAAAAATACAGTAACTTTATTTGGCTTTATGAGTCAAACAATATGAGTCTCAAGTTGAAAAGACTTAATTGGCTCAGTTTAGTACTCTGACAAGTTTATCTTGTCCTAAATCAGTTCCTTTCAAGCTCTCATCAAAGAACTTTTTGGTTTTGTGGTAGATAATGTTTCATATTTTCACTATTAATCATCTCAAGATTTCTGAAATTTCAAGAGCAGGTAGTGAAGTGGCTGAAGCATTCCACAAATAAAGCCCTAATCCTGGGAGATCATTTGTGGTTAGATTCTCGACTTCTAACCCGTCCTTTTAACCATCCTTTCTCTGTAGATTTACTAACAGCAGTGGCCAGACACCCATCTCCTGCCTGCCTGTTTGATCCTCGCACCCCAGTGCCTCCGCAGAGGCATGCCAGGCATTCCAGGAAGTTTTTTATCCGTTTCATCCTGGCTCCAGTCCTACTGCAAAAGCACCCTCCATACTACATGGACTACGGTGTTAGGTAGCCTGGACCTTTTAAACATTTGTTACCTCCTGCAGTCTCATTATATTTCTTAGCTCCCCTTAGCTGCAGCAGATAGTCACCCCTCCAGCTCCCTCCTCCTCACTCTCCGCGGTCTCTCTCGCTCTCTCTCAGCACTACAGAATTAAATATTTTCCATGCCCCTGAAGAGTTGGTAACATCATCCCATAAATTTCAACTAAACCTCAGGCACTACTAGATCAGAAATAATTTTTGAAGTATTCATTCACTGACTAGGCATCCAACTTCAGCAGAAATCTGCTAAACAAATAAGTTTAACCTCCTTACACAGAAAATATATTCCTTTTAGCAGCTTATTCAGAAAAATATGCTCCTTTACAAGCTATTTTTGGTTGAGAGAAAATATATTCATCCCAACAGAGCTTGTTCTCCAACAGGTCACTTTCCAGTTCCATACACTTTTTGAAGCAGTGGAAGTCATACCTTTGAAAGGGTTCCTGCTTTATCCCAGATTCATTTAAAAGAGTTTCACATGCCAACTGTAAGAAGTATTTCCTTGCTTTTGATTTCTCTTTCATGCATTTACCCTTCCTGCTCTTTGTATTGTCTATTCACATTTTTTCAATAAAAATCAATATAAAACTAAGAAAGATAAATAACAGGGATTCGCTGCATTCCTGTGCAGTTCACTGGCTGCACAATAAACACACTCAACGAATTTCAGGCTCCAGTGGTTCTCTTTAAAGCTCAAAAGCCAGTAACTTTATATTGCTCTTGCAAAAATTCACTCAGCACCCTCCTACCTAAATGGCGGGTCAGTTGTGCCAGTCATCCAATGCATCTCCTTGCAGTGGATGTCCATTCACTCCAGCTTATGATAATTAACAGTATGTCCATTGTGTTGCTAATTCGTTTTTTTTTCACTTGACATTAAATCATTTTTTCTGAAGTTTACTAAAAAGTGTTGTGTTTGAACACGTGAATATTCAATCTTTATCAAGCACACCTTATTCAAACCTGTCGTTTCCCACCTAAGGATACATTACCATCAAAGCCACCAGGCCTCTTCTCTGCTGGAATGTCACCGTGGATTAATTTGCTCGCTTTATTTGCAGCAACTTACCTGTATCAAATTGAAATGCATCCATTCAATTCTGCTATGTCGGCCTAAGATACTTTCCTTGTTAATCATTGCATCCACAACTTTACGCTTGTTTGAATTAGCTGCTCAGCATTCTAAGCATTTATCATGTGGCACAATGTTAAATCACTCAGGTCTGTAATTTTCAGCATGCTGCGGCACATTTACAAGAAACTACAGGAATCCTGGGACTGAGGTCAAGCGAGCAGACTCCTAGGAGCCTCCCATCCCGCCAGCACCACTTCCCAGCTGCTCTCCGTCAGCCCGGAAAGCGCAACACCAAGGCTCCGCGATTTGGAGAGTCGTCAGTGCAAGGCAGGCGGCAGACACAAATTTTCATCCGTGGATTTGGCCCCTCGGTTTCCATGGATCAGGACAGGATCTTCCATCAGGCATCGTTAGGCAAGCACCACCGCACACGGCACTCACGGGGCTTGGGGGCTTATCGCAGTCCTCATTTCCTTGTCGCCCCCAAAGCCGCAGCCGCGTGGGCTGTGAAAATCCCACCTGAGCCAACAGGCAATGCTTTGGGCCAAGAAGTGAGGGGTTTTGGCCAAGCCGCCTGTGCAGTGGGTGGGCAGCGTGGGCGCCGAGGGGCAATGCCAGGCACAAGACCGCTGCCAGCTACAGGCTGCTGCAGCCTGATGCGAGGCGGTGGC